CGGGGTCTGAGCTGGATCCGCGCCATCCGCTACTCCGACGTGCCTCCCAGGAGCACACGGGCGTGGCAACAGCTGTACGGCTCGCAGCCACCCAGCGAGCTGTGAGGCCTCAGCTGGATGCGCGTACAGCTCAACTCCGATGGACCCCCCAGGAGCCCACGAACGTGGAAACAACTGCAGATGTCGCAGCCATCCACGGAGCAACGAGGTCTTGGCTGGGTGCGCGTACTCCGCTACTCCGCCGAGCCTCCCGGGGAGCCCACGAGCGTGGCGACCATTGCACGGTTCGCAGCCACCCAGGGAGCCGCGAGGTCTCGGCTGGCTGCGCGTACAGCTCAACCCCGCTGGATCTCCCAGGAGCCCACGAAAATGGCGACAGCTGCACGTGTCGCAGGCATCCACGGAACAGCGAGGTCTCGGCTGGGTGCCCGTACTCTGGTACTCGGCCGTGCCTCCCAGGAGCCAAGTAAAAAGGCGGCAGGTGCGCAGCTCGCAACCACCATCCAAAGATGTGCGAACTCTGGACTGGGCCCGCGCACTCCGCTACTCCGCCGTGCCTCCCAGGAGCCCACTGAAAGGGCGACAGACGCACAGCCCGCAGCCATCCACGGAGCAGCGCAGGAGGAAGCAGAAGGGGGGGAGAAGAAGGTGTGCGACCGCAGCGCTCCATCCACAACGAGAACCCAACGCGGGAGGGTTGAGAATCCAGGATGGTCCATGAGGGCCTCCCGTGGGACCCATAACGGCCTTAGGATGGGAAGGCTGTGCGAAGACCCACGACAGCCCTCAAACACCCACCATGCGGCCAAAAGGGCCGCACGACGGCCCACAAGAGCCCCAACACGGCGTAAGAGGGCAACAAGACAGCACAAGAGGACACCAAGGGACCGCCAAGACTGCCTCACGGGAGGCTAAGACAGCCCCGATAGAGCGCAAGCGAGTTCCATGATACCTCCTCACAAAAAGAAGACGAAACGCGTCAAACTTGACGGTCCTCCTCCTCCTCAGCATCATCATCATCATCATCATCATCACCACCATCATCAGCATCATCAGCATCAGAAGCATCAGCATCAGCATAAGCATCAGCACGATCATCGTCATCAGCAATCACACCAGCAGCATCATCAGCATCAGCAGCATCATCCTCGTCATCAGCATCGTCATCATCATCGTCATCATCAGCATCAGCATCAGCATCAGCATCATCATCATCAGCATCGTCACCATCATCATCACAAGTGGTATCATCATCATCATAATCAGCAGCAGCAGCAGAAGCAGCATAAGCATCATCATCGCCACCGTCATACATCATCAGCATCATCATCATCATCATCGTCATCGTCATCGTCATCGTCGTCATCATCAGCATCATCGTCATCATCAGCGTCATCCTTATCGTCAGTAGCAGCAACACAATCAAAATCAACATCAGCATCATTATAATAAGCAGCAACATCGTCAGCATCAGCATCAACAGCATCATTATCAGCAGAAGCATGTTGATCAGCATCATCATCGGCATCATCATCATCAGCAGCAGCAGCAACAACATCATTACAACCACCGTCGTCACACTCGCAATGCAATCATCACCATCAGTAGCAACATCTACAACATCATCAACATCACCACAACCACCATCATCATCATCATCATCACCATCGTCACCTAGCATCATCGTCATCATAATCATAATCGGCACCTTCAATATCAGCATCATCGTCACCGTCACCAGCATCAGCATCATCAGCATCATCATCATCACCACCACCATCATCACCAGCAACATCATCATCATCATCATCATCATCATCAGCAGCACCAGCATCATCAGCAGCACCATCATCATGAATATCGTCATCAGTATCCTCAAACTCAACATCACCACCATCATCAAAAACATCATCACCAACAGCAACATCATCAGAATCAGCAGCAGCATCATGAATATCGTCATCGTCATCACCCCCACCATCACTATCATCATCAGCAGCAGCAGCATCATCATCATCATCATCATCATCATCATCGTCATCGTCATCGTCATCGTCAGCAGCATCATCATCATTATCAGTATCAGCAGCATCATCATGCTTAACATCATCAGCAACATCATCAAAAACAGCATCATCATCATCATCATCATCATCATCATCATCAGCATCATCATCATCATCATCATCAACAGCATCAACACCATCAGCGTCAATCATCACCCACAAGAATAGCACCATCAGCCACATCAGCATCATCATGCAAAAACAGCACTACGATCCTCAGCCTCATCCACACCACGGCCCCGTCACCCTCGAGCAGCCGCCACCCAGGAGTGCTGGGCTGGCACGGCGGCGGAGGCCCAGGAGGCCCAGGAGGGAGGGAGCCACGGGGGAGGCAGCAGGGGAGGCAGCAGGAGAGGACGCGGCAGGAGGAGACGCGCCCGCGAGGCGCCGCGCGCCTAACTGGACCCCCCCACTCCTCCCTCCTCCTACTGCTCCTCCTCCTCCACCTCCTCCTCCTCCTCGCTCCTCCACCTCCTCCTCCTCGCTCCTCCTCCTCCTCCTCCTCCTCCTCCTCCTCCCCCTCCTCCTCCTCCTCCTGCTCCTCCTCCTCCCCCTCCCGTACCACCGGTACCGGACCTCTCCCAAGATGCGTTCTGACCAGAATTCCGAGGCGGATCCACCGGTGGCGACGAGGGCCGCCCCGGAAAGCGAGAAAGGGAAAAACGGACGAAAGGCAGCGGTATGGGTACAGTACGAGCTCGACCACAATAAACCTTCCACAAGAGACCCAACACTGAGACCCCAGGACGTCCATCGATTCCTGGTGTGGAAACGCCATGCTGTCCAGAGCAAGACCATCGAAACCGCAGAAATCCAGGGCACCCTAGAGGCAATCAGGGTAATTCTTGGCATGGCGACGATAACGACAACGATCAACAAGAACGATCATCGATAACCATCAACGACAACGATACCGATAACGATAGCGATCAACGACAACGATAACGATCAACGACAACGATCAACGACAGCGATATCGTCATCGTTACCGTCATCGCTGTCCCACTGTCCCTTACGACTGCACGCAAGAGTGACCCTGGGTAAGAAAGACCTTTGGTGCGCGTTTCTTCGGGGGCCGCGGGGGACCAAACACGAGCGCACAAACCGCCACTACCGCATGGCGTCCTGCGATAGGGGGACCCAATTTGGCCCGCACCAAAAGTCACTCCAGCGAAAGGTCACTCTTACGTCTAGTCGCCCCTTTGCCTCCTCCGATCCTCGGGACTCTTGTTGTAGTTCCAGATGTGGAAGCCCGCGACCTCCCTCCTGGAGCGCGGGCATGATGTAGGGAACCAAACACTATACACCGACGCTTTTTCCGGCCCTGCACTGAAGACTGCAAACAAGAAAGCGGATCCTGGTGTATACGGGATCCTGGTGTATACATGTTTCGTTGTTTCCCTGGGAAAACGGGGGAATAAGTGTACACCACACCACCCCGACGTCGTCCCCGACCCTCAAGAAAGTCCTGGGATTCAAGAAACAGCCCGTGGTAATTTATACGTTCCATTTTCCGATGATGGGCCTATCGCTTCCGCCACCACCACCATAAGTTGGATGGGGGAAAGGAGGAGGAGACCGAGGAGGAGGAGGACGAACAGGAGGAGGAGGAAGAGGAGGAGGAGGACAAGGAGGGGGAGGAGGAGGAAAAGGAGGAGGGGGAGGGGGAGCAGAGGAGGAGGAGGACGAGGAGGAGGAGGGGGAGGAGGAGGAGGAGGAGGAGGACCCCCTCCCCCTCCAACTGATGGTGGTGGTGGTGGTGGTGGTGGTGGTGGTGGTGGTGGTGGTGGTGGTGGTGGTGGAAAACGCCCATCAGGGCAGGCCCGGCGCTTCGCCGCCCGGGGGAGGCGCCAACCCCGCCTCGCCCGTGGCCCTCCTGCTCTACTCCCTCCGCTGGCGTCGGCGCCCTCGTTCCCCGCCTCCGTCCCCTCGTGCTCCTCCTCCTCCTCATCCTCCTCCTCCTCCTCCTCCTCCTCCTCCTCCTCCTCCTCCTCCTCATTCCTATGAGGGCCTCGAGAGGCAACAAGCATTGATGTCCCACTGATGTTGCAAAACGTTTCAGGTTCTCGCCTTTTCGAGTTTCCGACGTCCCAAGACGGCCCACGAAGCCCCACGAAGCCACCAGGACTGCACCAAGACGGCCCAAGGGGCCCCCAGCCCCCAAGAGGGCCCCAAGATGGCCCAAGAGGGCTCAAGACGGCCCAAGAAGCGCCCCAGAATGCCCAAGACGGCACCAAGAAGGGCCCAAGCAGGTGCACACGACCCGACAATTCTAGCCCTCCGCCCCAAGAGGGCTCAGGAGGTCCAAAGAGAGCCAAAAGAGACCCCCAGGAGGCTCCCTAGGGGGCCCCAAGAGACAAAAAACATTGAGCTCCCTCAGAGTTTTTTTTGTTTTTAATGTTTTTAGGGGTTATCGCCTGTTCGTGTCTCCGACGCGCTTGCACGGCCCAAGAGGGCCTCAAGGGGGCTCTCAGACGGCACAAGAGGCCTCAAATAAAGTCTTTGTTTTCCGGACGCGCCTTGCAGTCGGACCCCTCCGCGCTGCAGCGTTGGCCGCAGTTCAGGACTGGCGGTCTGCTCCCGTCGTTCAGATTTGGATCTTGCCCCAGCGCGGGCCAGATGCATGGACCCGATTCCTTCCTCGTCGCTGCCGTCTCCCCCCCTTCCCCCAGTCGCCTTCCTCGACGCCCCGGCGCGGGCCAAATTCATGGATCCGACTCCTTCCTCGTCGCTGCCGTCTCCCTCCGTTTCTCTCGGTCGCCTTCCTCGGCTCCTTTCCTGCTCCACCTGCCCAGCCTGCTCCTGCTGCTGGTTCCTACCCCTTCCTCATCAATAGATTATGCTCTGCCTCCTGCTCATCTACCACCTCCTCCTCCTCCTCCTCCTTCCCATCGTCCCATGTATGTACCACGCCCCCAATTCAGGATTAGGCATCACACGATAGGGGTAATCTAGGGTACGACAGCCCGAAAATGAGAAAGAGTTCGGCGCAGTGGGAAGCGATGGGTGCGAGGGATAGGACGTCAGGCCAGGATAACGTGGGGGGAGGTGAAGAGAGGAAAGAGGACGAGAAAGGAGGAAGCAGAGAAAAAGGGGGCAGGCAGGCAGCCGTGGCTTCGTCGTCGTGCAGGACCGGGATCCTAGTCTCCAAGTCTATCTTGATGATGTTCCCCGTCACGGCGGCCTCGGGGATTCTCGAGAGGGAGAAGAAGAGGAGGAGGAGGAGGAGGAGGAGGAGGAGGAGGAGGAGGGCAAGTGGGTCCCTCCCGGGAGGAGCTGGCCCGTCGGCAGAGCGGGAGGCCAAGACTCCTCCACCTGCCCCTTCCCTCCCCCGCTCGCCCTCCTGACACCGGGGGGGGGGGAGGTGGGGGGGGGGGAGGGGGGGCAGGCGACGGAAAGCTCGGCCGCAGGCCCCGCTTAACCCCAGCGAGCCCTCGAGGACCTCGCTGCGTCGGCCGCGCACCGTCGGACCTCAAGGCCCAAGGCCCCCGGGAGGGAGGAGGAGGAGGCCCAGAGGAAGGCGAGAGCGGAGGAGGGGGGAGGTCGGAGGAGGGCGAGAGGGGGAGACGGAGGGTAGACGAGCGCGCTCCACTACTCGCAAGATGACTGCTCGCCAACGCCCCTGGACCCGCCGCGGGCAGTCTACGATGCACTACATCGAGGCAGACGCGCGCTTTTCGAAAGCTTGCGAGTAGGCACTGTGCGAGTCATGGAGCGCGCTCGGTGAGAGGGAGGGGAGAGAGAGAGAGGATTCGGGCGTTCCGGAGTGTAGGAACGAGGAAAAGGCGACACCAAAACCACCAGGGCGAGGAGATGCGAGGAGCAATTAGGGGGGTCTCCCCGGTGGTGTGGTCCCCCCCCCTCGCTCGAGGCATCCCCAGCCTCCAGCTCGGGGAAGCACCGTGGACCCTCCTGCTGGAGGGTGGGCCCCCTGGTGGCGTTGGTGTCGCTCCTCCTCCCCCCGAGAGTGGGTCGAAGGCTGGGGCGCCAGCTGCTGGAGGTGGGCCCCCTGGTGGCGCTGGTGTCGCTCCTCCTCCCCCCGAGAGTGGGCCGAAGGCTGGGGCGCCAGGACAGGCAAGGAGGGGAAGGGCCCGAGAGCCTCGGAGCCCCTGCCGGAGGCCGCCCTCTCGGGCTTCACGAAGGGCGCCAGCCACATGTGCAGGTCGTCCGTCGTGCAGGAGGTGCCGTCGAGGAGCTTGTCGATGGTTCTGGGATCTCCTGCGTGGGCGCCCGGAGCGGATGCGCACAGAGTGGGCCCCGTGCCAAACACCCGTGAAGGGGCCCTGGGAGTAAGAGGATTCCCCTTATATTTGCCCATATTTCTGGGTGCGTGTGTCTTCCCCCCCACTTCCCCTATTTTCCCACATGTTCTGGGGAGTCGACGATGGATTGTGTCTGTGTTTTCCCCTCCTGAACCGAACATTGACAAAAACCAGCAGGGGCCGCTGCTGGCCAGGCGGCCGTCGGTCTAGACAGTGGGCGTCCGCGGCGATACCGACCGCAAGTCCTGCTCCGAAGGAGCAGGACTTGCTTCTGGTCTTCGTGAGAATTCTCCTTCCGTACGTTGCAGCCTCGCTCGTCGCGATCCTGGGGCCGCCGAGGGGTGGGGGGAGGACAAAGTCCCAGATGAATGAATCCTGCAACCTGTCTCGCACACTCCCGCCGGCCCCCTTTGAAGATGGAGACGCATGACTCAGCGACGGGTGCGCCAGGCGCGCCTGGTTTAGATGCCAGGTGCGCAAAGTGCGACCCAAATGCGACAAATGTATCGGGTGGGCCGGGCCCGCCAGAGGCGCCAGATGCGCAAGACGCAACAGGTGGGCCGGGCCCGCCAGACGCGCCAGGTGCGCCAAGTGTGATAAGTGTGTCAGGCGCGTCATTTGCACCAAGTGCGCTAAGTCCGCCAGCGCACGTGCCGTCACACACCAGACACTGATTCCCCAGCACCTCTGGCAAAAACAAATGCAAAATGATGGTGGGGGCTGCTGGCACAGCGTCCAGTGCTTGCGCGGCACGATCACGTTGCATTATTTTTCGACCAGAGGGAAGGGCACCTGCCGGTACACATCGGACGAAATGATTTAACCCCCCCCGCCGCCTTCACTGACAAAAACCTGTGCAACACAATGACGGGGGTGTCGGCATCACCCCCCCTGGCAACCAGAGGATCCTTCTGACCCTCGAAAGTGCTAACGATGTCCAGCCCCCGGGCACCCTGTCTGAACGGCCAGCGGGAGGGTCTTGCTGGGTCCTCCTCCACAAAACACTACGCCAACTTATACCAAGTGACGCATGCACCACTGCAACTACAGGCATCGAGCACTGTGGAAAAAAACAACCTGCGACGGGAAGCCACCACGCAGACGCTCGACAGAGACACGGGAACACTGCGAACGCCGAGCAGTCGAAAAATCAGCAGCATTAGGAAAGAGGGCAGGAGAAGAGGGGATGCTGGTCCAGCGCCAAAGAGATCTGCGCGGGCATCCGACAGCTCACGGTCATACAGCCAACCTGTATGAGAAGGACTGCAAGGGCCTTGGTGGGGAATGTTGAATTTGTCGAATGGGTTTGGCCAGCGAAAGTCGCTAAGTATGGGCCGAAGGGGCAAGTACAGTGCGGGCGCGGCCGCAAGAAGCCCTCGCAAGAAACCCAACCCTGAGAACCCGTGCGCGAGATGCACCTGAGGATAAACCTGGAGCACACCAGCTCCTTCAACGGCTGCGGGAGGCCACCGCGCGGCGCGAGGAGCGAAGAAACCCATGATACCCTGACGAGAAGCATATGGTGTTAGGTCGGGCCTGTCCCGTCCCCATACAGGGGGATCTTGGGCGAAAAATTGGAAATACTAAAAATACCCCCCAAATGGGCAAAAATAGTGAAAGGATCGTCCCCCGACTATTTTCTGACTATTTTTGAATACTCCTCCTGTAGAGGGACAGGCCCGACTTGAATATGGTGTCTTATTTTTCAAACCCCAGGAAGTAAGGATTGTTGCTTCTGCTTCTTGATTACGCCCGTCCTTTCGCCCTCACACACACTTGAATATGGTGTCTTGATGCGCGTCCCCACTGTATGCAAAGACAGCCTTGGATCGGCTTCGACAAATCTCCCTTTAGTAAACCTCCCCTTAGTGAAAACGGCCTGGGACCGAAACCGACGGACCTGGACCCGCAAACATGACGGCCGCGACGCCCTCTCGCGAGCCGAAAACGGCCAATTCCTCGTAATCGGCGTGTCAGGGCAGGAGGTCTGTCCACCCCCGAAATATGGTGTCTTGATGCGCGCCCCCACTGTGTGCAGAGGCAGCCTTGGCAAGGTGCTCCTCTTGGTGGTCCCCAAACGTGGTGGTGAGAACACCCGGTGGTGAGTTTTAGGCGATTTGGGTAATGGTTTTCGAGCGCTGGCTGGCCCAGGAAACGCAAAACCTCGTGGCGACCGCGTGTCCCCAAACCCGGTGGTGACCCAGAATTATTTTCTGGGGGAATCGGGGTCACCACCTGGTTTGGGGACCCCCAATCCTCCGCGGAGCCGCCGCGGTACTGCCGGAGAAGAGGCGCCCCGCGGAGCGACCGGGGGGCGCCGCTCCAAGGCCACGGCTGGCCCCCAGGCCGCGAGGCGGCTCCCCTTCCCGAGCCCCAGAGGTGGTCCTTGCAGCAGTGAAGGGGGCCCTGGGGCACATAGATAAATACACACAAGTAAAAAGATTCTCCATAGTTTCCCATGTTTTCTGGGTTTGTGTCTTCCCCCCCACTTCCAATTATCTTCCCATTTGTTCTGGGGAATCGACGATTCATTGTGTCTGTGTTTTTGTTTTCCCTCCTGAAGCAGGGGATCGACTTCAGTCAGGGATTTCGGGCGAAAAATGAAAAGTACTCCAAAGATACCCCCAAAATACTCAAAATACTGCAAAAAAGATCGTCCCCAGACTATTTTTGTTTGACTAGTTTTGAATATTCCTCCTGCAGAGGGACAGGCCCGACTTAAGGCTCGACCACAAGAAGCCTGCCACAAGAGACCCGACCCTGAGACCCCAGGACGCCCCGCCGTCGTTGTCGTCGTGAGCGTGTCTCGTCCGTTTGCCCAGACTCAGAGCGCACAGCCGTCCGTCCGCCTGCCCCGCCTGCCCCGCCGCAGCGTCACGAAGACGCCCGTGGTCTCGCGAGAGAGCATTGCACTCCCAAGTCAAGCCCATCCTTGAGCAGGAAACGAAGTTCAAACCAAAGAACGCTGGAAATGTTGCTGAATGCAGGCCTCTACGAGCTCATGTCGGGCCAGGATGACGCCAGAAGAGGTCCTGGAACACTGGAACCATTTTGGACGGGTTTCGGGATACGGCGGAGGAACGAGGACGGGGCAGGAGGAGGAGGAGGCTGCGCACTGGATGGGGGAGGCCGCTCCATTGGGGTTGCGACTCACGTGTCTGGATAATGAGGCGGCGACGGCGGCGCCGGCAGCGGCGAAGGCGACCCGAAAGATCTGCTTCAGCACGAAGGAAGCGGGTCCTCTGGGAAGCAGGTCCTGGACCACGGCTCTGACAGGCCAGTCAGGAGGGCTCATGGAGGGCCCAGGGAAGCCAAAAAATCAGAAAACACCGCAGGACCAGCTTCCCGCAGGACTCGGTTCCTTCACGGCGAACTGCTGCATGTCAGCACCGACCTCCTGCTGGCCGGCAGCGGCGACGGCAATCCGACGATGTGCTGTGTGTCAGCAACAAACCTCCTGCTTGAGAGTGGCGAGCGTTGTCAGGACCGAGGTCCACCCTCGCCATGGCCTTGAGTCCGAGAACGAGGACGAGGACGAGAACGAGGACGACGACGACGACGACGACGACGACGACGACGGCGAAGAGGGCGGTGACGACGAGAGCGGCGGCGACGAGGGCAAGGACGAGGACAAGGGCGAGGACGAGGACGAATGACGACCACGGGGGCCATGAAAGTGCCAGAGATTAAAATATTAAAGAAACGCGCCACAAAACAGATGGCGGGTTGTTCAGTCGATTTGGAAACTCACAAGATGCCCAAAAGCTCCCACGCGTGCCCGGGGCCGTCGAAGAATAAGAGATCCCTGTGGGGCACCTGCTGGCACGCAAAGATTTTATGTGGTACATGGCAGTGTTTTCTTAATACATGGGATTTTAAACATATGTGATGTTTAGTACATGATGAATGTATGAATACATTTATGTATGAACTCATCGTGGTTTTTAAGGCACGCGGAGCATGTATTAAAAACGGCACTGTACCCATGCTAATCAAATTCCTCACTTCCCCCCCTCCCCCCCCCCCTCCCCTGGACAGCACGGAGGGTGAGAGGGGCATCACTGATTCGATGGATCGGACCCTACCACGACATCTCCATTCGATAAGTTCGAGACGCGCGTGAGAAGATGGGCGTGCAGAGCTGTGCGCAAGCGTGATGGCAGCCTGGGCTGCCAGAACCTGTTGGGCCCTCCTTCTTTGTACCGAAGCGACGATGTGCCATGGTGTCCCGACTCCTGCGTGATTGAATTGCTGGGGCGTCCCGCTGGTGTCCCGACTAATTTGAATGGTTGCAACCGCGACCATATGCGCTTGCAATTACGTCAAGCCGAACTTGGGATAGTGTTCCTATGGTGTCCCGATTGCGTGTCAATTGCTTTGCGAATAGTGTCGGCTAATAGTCAATTCAGCGATAGCGTGCCAATTCACTTCTGACGGCGGCCCGATTGCAGTGTTATCTCGAATGACCTGTGGCATTGGAGCAAATGGCGTCACTGCAACCCCGAAACCGCTCGTCGCCTGCATGGTTGCCTGGTACGCAGATTCGACTCCTGGGCCTGGGTTTAAAATGAGAACTCCGATACGTAGAGGGCACCTGAAGACCAGCACCATGCCTGCCTTGGGCCATCCTGAGCCCTGGCATGGTGAATACGCCCGCCTACACCAGGCCCAGGGCCTTCTGCGAGAGGAAAGTCCCTGCGTGCCGACGCTGCATCATTCCAATTCTTCACGGACGACCCCGGAGCTGGTCAGGCCATGACGATGACACGGCCACGGCGGCGATGATACTGGTGCGGGGCTGCGCGTGGATGACGATGATGGCCGTGATACTGTTTGCAGAACTGGCTCCTGGCATCTCATCCGCCTTGTGTTGTGATACGCAGTCTGCATTCCTTCGAATTGAAACAGCCACTATCCGCCACCGCACTGTGCTGCGGCTGATGTGTGTATCCTGCCTCCTGTTGGTTCTGCTCTAAGCACTGCTCCCTGCGAGTCAACGCGGAGCATCCCTCCCCACCACATCGATGCGAACATGCCTTGGCGTTTTGCTCAACGTCCCTACGTTTGTGTTTTCCGGACTTCGGAAAAGAATGACTGCCAAGTTATTTGACGCAGGCTGATATTATGCGCAGGCGTCACATAAGAATACCCTAAAAGCAATAATTAAACTTTACCGCCATTAGATCCGACAAAGCACTACGCGTTTTACGCACGAGAGCGAAAACCAACCATTGGCACGCTTTATGTTGGCATTGACGTGGCCAGAATTATTTCACCATCGAAACGCAGCAATCGAATAGCCCACGTGCACCCATCAAGGCGCGCGCTCGTTTCTTGCCTTAGGGATGTTAGACAAGGTCCGACACGTGGGGCAACCACGTAGATATAAACGTGGCATTGCCGTGCACATTGGTTGGTGCATGGTGGCTGGTGCCCTGGTCGACGCCGCATTCGTCCTTCAAGCACGAAACTGTTCCAGTTCCCATCTCAGCGAAACAAAATGCTTGACAGGATTGAGTGTTGCGAGGATTGGTCGAATAGTTTCCAGCGAACGGAACGCGGCAATTCTCAAGTCGGCAAGGGCATCGGCCAAAGCACCGCTCTTAAAAATATGATATACCTATGTCAGAGGCACGGCTTACAGATGGCCCTCTCGTGGACTCGTGGGCACACACACACACGCACACACCAGGGCTGAAGCTAAACGGTGTTTTTCGTTTTCGTTTTGTTTTCGTGTTCCCTCGCGTTTGTCTCGAACCCGTCCTTACCGCAAAACGAAATGAAAACGAGAACGGCCCACGAAATCACCAAAAACACCGTTTAGGTTCAGCCCTGGCACACACTGTTGTCGCCTCGACGTGGGTCGAGCACGCCATCAGAGCATTCGAGGGACGCTCCGAGGCCAAATCGGGCACACAAAGGGAGCAGGGACGGCGCCGAGGGGGAGGAGAGGAAGCCGCGGGTGGCGGAGCCCGCTCAGCACCTGCGCGCACACAAACACACTGAAGGGGCCCTGGGACACACAAATAAATAGACACAAACAACAGGATTCCCCATGCTTTACCATATGTGCTCGGTTTTTGCCTCCCCCCCACTTCCCATGGTTTCCCATATTTTCCTGGGGATCGACGATGACTTGTGTCTGTGTGCTTTTCCCCTCCTGACTGACACACACACACACACACACACTTCTGCGTCGGCGGCCAGGCAGAGTGCCTGCGCTGGGGGAAGGGCAGATGTTGCCGAACAGCTGCGAGGCAGGCCGCGATGCACGAGGGACAAACACACACACACACACACACCACCCGCACACACCGCACACAACGCATACAGTGAAAACGTCTAGCAAGGACGCGTGGTAAGGACGCAAGACCCTTGGAGGCCGAGGTTGAAGTATTCTGGGCGGCAGGCGGCCAAACCCCCAGGGAACCTGAGAAACTGGCCTGCGAAAATTGCTAGGGACGGGCCGCAGAGGCTGAGGCAGACAAGGACCCAAGGGTACCCTTGAACAAAGTCGTTTGTCCTTACGATGCGCGTTGACTGTATCTGCCCGCGCCCATCGAAATAAGTCGGCGGATTTGCCCGGCAGCGCAACTGGCAAAATAGGCTTACGGGTCAGTGCAGACTTTGGCTCTACTGCGGATGAAGAAATCACAGGATGTCGTGGTCTTCTGCCACCAAAAAAACACCACAACCATGATCTATTTAGAATGGTTGGGTACGCGTCGCGCGCGTCATGGCAAGGCGCTATACAAATAGCTGTCCCTGCAGCACTACGAATCTGAGGAAGAGTGAAAAACGAGCGCCAGAAGCACGAGAAGGAATGCTTGGGCCCCGATCGCGCGCCCGGGAGCGGGGATCTCCGAGAGATCACTCCGCCAGCGGGGTCGAGGCGGCCAACGGCCAATGGGCCACAGTGCGACGTGCTCAAACGTACGAGACCTCCCACCTGAACATGCCACTCCTCCGGTGGCAAGTCATGGGAGCCTCCCATACCATCTTGTCGGCTCTTGCGAATCGACGCTGATCGACGCTCACCGACGCTGATCGACGCTAAATCGACGCTGACCGACTCTAAATCGGCGCTATCTCATGGACTCCCAGACGCGAATCGACGCGAGTCGACGCCGCAGGCGGAACTGAGAGGGTATACCAGGCTCCCATGACTTGCTACCGAGTGTCGGGCCGGGCGAAGGGGGGGGCGATAGCAAAGGGGGAATCTGAGAATCAGCTCGCGTAGCTGATTTTCCTATTTCGTACCTCCCCCCCTCCCTTGTTCCCCCCCTCTCGTTCGGCCCGAGAATGCCGCCCCCGGAGCCAGCAGACACAGGCGACAGAAGGGAGCAGACACCACACGGACACCAAACCGCCGCGTGCCCGCGCGGACTCCCGGGGCCGGCGCGGCGCCTCACCCAGGGACCCCTTGGCGCACTCCGCGCGCCCCGAGGGAAGCGGGAGGCCCGGCGGCGTCCCGAGGCGCCCGCGCGGAGCCCCCAAGACTCCACCGGGATCCACCAGACAGGAGGGCGAGGGGACCCTCCCCGACCTTCCGAGGGGGCTAAAAAACAGCACCAGGACGCCGACGTCCTCATGCCTGTCGAGGTTCGAGGCACTCCAGGTAGATCTGCAGGTCTGGAGTGCTATGCTTTGGCGCTCTGGAAGGTCAGGGCTGAGGGGGGGCATGAGTTCGATTCGCTGGTGCACCGGACTGCCGCAAACGGGTGCCCCCCGCATGCCCCACGCATCGGTACCTGTCGGGAGCTGCCAGCGGCTGGGGGAAATCTGTTTGGGGGCGGTTCGGTGCAAAAGCCGATCGAACTTTCACACACACACACACACACACACACACACACTGGGGCGCACTCTCCCCCCTTTGCGGGATCCCGGCTCTGTGCTCACATCGCCCTGTCTTGCGCCTCCAGCGACGGGCCCCGCCCAGCGCGCAAGGCGCTCAAGCTATACCATGAAACAGACGGGTCTTGAGGGGAACTGGTCCTGGACTTCGGTCGGGCCTCTCCCCCTGCAGGGGGGTTTTGGACGAAAAAGAAAAACTACTAACAAGCATACTCCCAGAATGCTCAAAAATAAATAAAACAAATCCGTCCCCAGACAAATTTTGGATTGTTTTTGAATATTCCTCCTGTAGAGGGACAGACCCGACTTCATCCTGACCGAGACCTCCCCCGAGGAACAGCCTTTGATGGCGGCCCCGGGGCCCGAGGAAGGCCCCCGGAGCCCGAAGATGGCGAAGCACAACCAGGGTGCTGGGGGAGACAGACAGGCACCGATACAGTCAACCAGCATGGTAAGGATGCGCGATAAGGGTGCAAGGGCCTTGGACGCCCATCTCGAGCGGGGCGCGGCCAGCGAAAGCGGCGAAGGATGGACCGAGGAGGCAAGGATGCAAGGGTACCCCTGGGAAGGTTGCCCATCCTAACTATGCTGGTTCACTGTACCGTGACTCCCCGAACCTCTCCCAAAGTTGTCTCTGACCAGGAGTTCGAGGAACATCCGGCTGCGGCGACGAGGGCTCTCCAGAACAGAAGGCAGCATCGGTATCCAGGCCTCCTCTGACTCGAGTAGGGGATCGAATACAGAAACGATGTCTCCCAGCGTGTAGCCAACGATGTGGTCGATGTCGAACTATCCGCAATGGGGAAATAGGTCCTGAGGGAAATGGGTCCTGGACCCTGGGCCCATTCTCCAGGACGAGATCCTCATCTTGAGCTGATCTCTGACGGGGCCCGTGGAGGGCCCCGAGAGCGCGACCACGGCGACAAACCTCTGAACGCGATTCCCTCTGGACCCGTTTCCCCCACGGCGATACTCGACTGACTGCAGACCCGCTTCCTGCCGGCGCGCATCAGGGGGTAGGGGGTAGGGGGGGGAAGGCTTCTCAGAAGGAGGCTGCCTCTTGGAAGGCGCCGGCCTCACATCGTTAGACAAGGCCCGCGCCTTCTAAGAAGCACGTGGTGCTTCTAAGAAGCACTCCCCCCTCCCCCTGGCCATCGCTCGGACGTCCATTGTCTGTGTTTTTTTCGGTTTCGTGCGTGGTTTCTTCGCGAAATGATCAAGGATGCTCCTCGATGGTCCTCGCCGAAGGAAAAACGCACACGTCCGAGCGATGCCAAGCCCCCTGACCCCCCTCTGCGCCGCGCGCGGCCGAATTCCCCTCGGGATCCGCCTGCTTCGTGGCGCTCCCGGCGCGCCGGCGCGCCTCCCCGCGGCCCGCAGCAGGTCCGAGCGGAAGGCGCCCTCCAGCCGCTCCACGAGGCCTGCCGGCGGCCATGCCGCGGGGTTCTCGGGCGCCTCGGGCACCAGGTCCTGGACCAGCTTCGAAGGGAGCCCTATCCCTAGTTTTAGGTCGCGCCTCGGGCACCAGGTCCTGGGCCAGCTTCGAAGGGAGCCCTATCCCTAGTGTTAGGTCGGGCCTCGGGCACCAGGTCCTGGACCAGCTTCGAAGGGACCCCTATCCCTAGTTTTAGGTCGGGCCTGTCCCCCTACAGGGTGAGTTTGGATGGGAAAAAGAAAGAGTACTCAAAAAATGCCCTAAAATACTCAAAAATCGTCAAAACAAAAACATCCCAGGACAATGTTTTACTATTTTTGAATATTCCTCCTGTAGAGGGACAAGCCCGACTTAACCCTAGTTAGTGGCGAGCGGGGGGGGGGGCGGGCCTTCTCAGAAGGCTCGACGTCCCTCGGCCTTCTGAGAAGCTGTCTAAGCCTTCCCCACAAACACAGAAACCTTCTCGGAAGGCGCCAGGGCTTCCGAGAAGCCCCGCCGCCCTCTGAGAAGGACTTTTCCTTCTCGCCTCCCCCCCCCGCTCGCCGCCGACGAAGATCGGCAGGCCCAGGCGATGGCAGTCTTGGGGATGTGCCCCCAGAGACCGAAGCAATCCTTGAGATCGGCACCGAGGCGGGGTGATGCCAACTGTACCGGGAGCGGCCAAGAGGAGGGTGTCCAAGAGTGGGTGGTGCAAAGCATGACCGGCGGCATGTGCGCGGCCCAGCGGGGGGGCCAGGGACGTAATGAAATTAGAAGAGGCGCCACGAAATCTGGGGAGATATCATGGTCCACGCCATGATATCCAACCCCCCTAGTCATCACCCCCCTCTTTTCCGCCCCCGACTGTAGGGAGATGGATACGCTTCGAGCTGGTGAGGTCCCCCCGCGCGGTGCGGGCCCAGCGCCAGCCCGCGCCGAGCTCCAGCGCGCACTCCTCCATGCGCCGCTCCAGCCACGAGGGCTCGCCCGGGTCGCAGGGGTCCCGCCCGAGGAGGCGCGCCACTGCCCCGAGGCTGAGGCCGTGGCGCACGGTGCCCTGGAGCAGCAGCAGGTGGACCAGGACGACGACGACGACGACGACGACGACGACGACGACGACGACGACGACGACTAAGACGACGACGACGACGACGACGACGACGACGACGACGACGACGACGACGACGACGACGACGACGACGACGACGGACGACGACGACTAAGACGACGACGACTAAGACGACGACGACGACGACGACAACGACGACGACGACGACGACGACGACGACGACGACGACGACGACGACGACGGAGGCGGCGGCGGCGAGAAGGACGAGTTCGAGGACGAAGACGACGAGGCCGAGCACGACGCCGAGGCCGCAGACGAAAGCCGACGACGGCGAGCACCACGCCTCGCGCAGCAGCGCCAGGGCGATGGCGTAGGTCGCCCGGGCCGCCGGCTCGAGCCCAATGCCGGCGAGCGCCGCCAGCGCCTCGCCGCGGCCCCGGTAGGCCGCCTCCACCGTGGCGAGCACCTCGGGCAGGCAGGGCGCGTTCACCTGCGGCCAGCCCGCCCACGCCTCGAAGCTGGCCTCCCCCACGGCCCACCAGCGCGGCAGCGCGCAGCCGTGGTCGATGGGCACCGGCCGGAAGGCCCCGCCCGCGCTGCTGGCTCCGGAGGCAGGTGCAGGGAGGTCGTCGTCGGAGGGATCTGACTACCTACCAGACCACCCCAACCCAACCCGAAGACCCGAATTTCGGGTTGGGGGGGGTATGGGCTCCATACGTGGTTCTTTCGATGTTCCCCACCCACCCACCCCCACTGGAAATGGAGGTCAATGTGAGGCCTTCGGGTTGGGTTGGGGTGGTTTGGTGGGTGGTGAGATCGGGGAGGGTTGAGCCCCAACGGGGGCTGCTGCGCCGGATTGGGCCCCAGATTCAGCGGGGCCAAGCCGGACTGAGCGGGAAGAAGACGGATCAAGCGGGATTGAGCCGGACGAGACGGGATTTTCGGACCAGGGCAGAGTCAGAAGTTGAACTCCCAGGAGCTGCATCCGAACCTGGGTGGCTGGCGCTTGAAGAGCAAATTGCCCGCGTGCCGATCAGTGTTGCACAGTCGGAGGTCGAGGCTGGCGATTTCCTGGACCGCGAGGACGGACACCACGCCGGCCGCCCCGGCGAGGTCTCGCGGCATCCCGAAGTCCTCCGAGGCGCCAGCCACGTCGCGCACAAACTCCTGGACGGAACCCGAGCTGATGCCGCGGGCAAAGTCGCTGCCGCTGCTCTCGGGGGTCGCCGGCGAACCATCAAGCACGCACCCCGGCACCTCCAGGGCGCCACGAACCGAAGCCTGCGGAAGCCCGCGCGGACCTCTCTCGGGTCGGCGCTGAGCCTTTGGCGCGCTAAGCGCGCCGGGTGGCGCCCAGACTCCGCCAAGGGGGGCACAGCGCCAACCCAAGAAATCCGCGCGGACCTCCGACAGCTTTTGGAGGCCTAGACATTGGCACCAGCACCAACACTGGGGGGTTGCCTCCACATGGGGGAGATGATCCTAGACCTCGGTGTTGGTGGCAATAGTTCGGTCGCCTTGGGAGCCAGAATATGACCACCATCACCGAGAGCGGGATCTTCTTCCCTCGGTGGAGGCAGAACGCCGATATCGGTGCTGGTGTCAACCTCAAGGCCTGCGAAGCTTGAGTTAGGTCGGGCCTGTCCCCCTACAGGGGAATTTTGGACGAAAGATAAAAAATATTCAAGAAATGATCAAAAGATGCCCAAAAATACTCACAAAATAGTCCCCATATTATTTTTTGACCATTTTTGAATCTTCCCCATGTAGAGGGACAGGCCCGACTGAAAGCTTGAGTTTCCGCCGTCGCTCGGTGCTCGATCGCTGGCGGGGCATCGGCCACGAAGCCCGGCACCTCCGCGCGCGCGGTCACGGGCACCCCGGCGGGGGAGCCCGAGAGGCGGTCGAGCACGTAGGCCGCCTCCTCGCGCAGGGCGCCTCCGCCGGGCGGTATCCCGCGGCGCTGGAACCTGTGGGGGAGGTACAAACAAATAGGGGGGGGATAAACAAGTGCCCTGGAGCTTGAGATGCTGCAGCGAATTTCGCTACCAGCGCGCGTGCTACCAATGGGGCACTAACGGGCGCGACGAAACGCAATCCGTAAGATGAATCAATCGCGCCGGAACGCAGCTGCGGGGGGGGATAAACAAGTGCCCTGGAGTTTGAGATGCTGCAGCGAATTTCGCTACCAACGTGCGTGCTACCAATGGAGCACCCACGTGCGCGACGAAGTCGCAGTTCATGAGATGAATCAGTCGCGCCGGCGACGAGAAATGATCAACGCAGATACAAATGACGATTGGCTTGAAAGCTAAATGCAAGGCACTGGAATCCGTCTCAGCTCAAGCAAATACAACCGAGGCGGTGCTTTTTGTGGCTACCATCGCGACTATTTGTATATAAGAGAAGTACATCTGAATTCTTTTGTGGTACGCTAACATGCATGAGACGGGTGAGTCACGCCGACACCAAAAAAGTATCAACGCGCATGCATTCCTTCTTCCTCCTGCACCGCGCCCTCGTCATTATCATACTCCTCCACCATCGTCATAGATCCTCTTCGGGAAAAGTTGGCATCCCGTGCTCATGCGAATGAGTGGAATGAGGACAAGGAGGAGAAGGCTCCGTTCAAGCGCATATTCAGCCATCGATCTCCCCCCATCATCGGCACATGTATCATGATCATCAGCAGCATCATCATCATCATCATCATCATCATCATCATCATCATCATCATCAGCATCAGCATCATCAGCATCATCATCATCATCGTAATCGTAATCGTCATCGTTATCATCATCAGCAGCATCAGCATCAGCATCATCATCACCATCACCATCATCATCAACACCATCATCACCATCATCATCATCATCATCAGCATCACCAGCATCGTCATCATCATGAGCATCATCATCAGCATCATCGTCATCAGCATCGTCATCATCATCATACTACGCATCGTCGTCATCATCACCATCATCATCATCACCATCATCATCAGCAGCATCATCAGCATCAGCATCAGCACCATCGTCAACATCATCATCATACGAAGGATCATGATCATCATCAGCAAGATCAGCATCATCAACAGCATCATCAGCATCAGCATCATCAGCAGCACCATCATCAGAAGCATCATCAGCATCATCACCTCATCATCACCATCATCACCAGCATCATCATCATTATCCTAATCAGCATCATCACCATCGTCGTCGTCGTCGCCGTCGTCGTCGTTGCCATCATCGTCAGCAGTATCATCATCATCATCATCATCATCATCCCCATCCTCCTCCTCACTATCAACACCATCATCATCAGCAGCATCATCATCGTCAGGGGCATCAGCATCAACATCATCATCACCATCAGCATCAGTGGCATCCTCCTCCTGATCATCATCACCACCGGCATCACCACCAGCATCATCAGCATGATCATCATCGGCATCATCAGCATCATCACCATCATCACCATCGTCATCATCATCACTACCATCGTCATCATCATCATCATACTCAGCATCAGCATTATCATCAGCATCATCATCGCAATCATCATCATCATCATCAGCATCAGCATCAGCATAACCATCTGAAATCATCATCATATGGAATCGTCATCAACATCAGCATCGTCATCATCATCATCAGCATCACAATCATCATCAACCATCAGCACACTCACAGTCAGACGAATAGTAATCATCAACGCAATCAGCATAATCAGCAACATCATCATCATCATCAGCATCATCATTTCCACCATCGGCAGCAGCATCACCATCATCACTGCCATCATCAACATCATCTTCACTACCATCATCAGCATCATCCTCATGATCATCGGCATCACCATCATCTGTCATCATCATCAATATCATCATCAATATCATCACCATAATAACCATCACCATCATCATCATCGTCGTCGGCATCATCATCACCAGCATCACCATCACCATCACCATCATCATCATCAGCAGCATCGTGATCATCGTCATCATCGTCATGTTCATGGTCATCCTCATCGTCATCACCACCATCATCATCAGCATCATCATGGTAATCGATCCTTTCTCCCATCGTCCTTCCCGTCCTCTCCATTTGTATCATGTCCATCATCACCCCGATCCTCCGTCCTCCCCCCCAGGGCGGATTCCTAGCGGCAGGAGCCCACGACGCCCACGCGACAGAGTTGTTTTATTCATCCGTCGACACCAGCGGGCACCTGTTCCAGGCCAGCGCCGCCCCAAAAAGGCGGAGCACAGGTACACCGGGAGAGGAGGATCAGGATAGGCAGGAGGAGGAGGAGAAGGAGGACAAGGAGGAGGAGGAGGAGGAGAGGAGGAGGAGGAGGAGGAGGAGGAGGAGGAGTTGAGGAGAGGAGGAGGAGGAGGAGGAAGAGGAGGAGGAGGAGGAGGAGGAGGAGGGTCCAGTGTTGGCCAAGCCCATCCTTGGTGCAGGACCGGTGTACTGTCACACGCCTGCCTGGCCGCATACACAGGAGGGCCGTGCGCACAGATCCTGGAACCCTGGGATGGAATGGGGTTGGCCCTCCTCCTCCTCCTCCTCCTCCTCCTCCTCCCTCCTCCTCCTCTTTCCTCGCTCCTCGCTCCTCGCTCCTCCCTCCGCCTCGCTCGGCGGCAGGCGGGGCGTGATCGGGTCGAGAATGAGCGTCCCCCGAGCACGGGCGGCGTTTTATCTGGCTCCCGGAGAACCCCTCCTCGGCCCCCGACTTGAATACGGCGAGAGGGCTCCCACACTGCGACTTGGTGTCCGGCACCGTGTACACGCCTCCGGTCTGGCCAGCCTCTGACCGAACCCCAAGGGGCCCGAGACAAGGAGTGGAAAGAAGGCGAGGGGTAAGTCGAAGGGAAGGTACTACGGAAGGCTCTAGGGAGCACTGGGTGTACCAGATAGAGATTGGGAAAACCAGGGAGAAGTATGCTGGAGGAGCAGAAGCAGAGAGTGCACGAGTAAGAGGAGCACGCCAACAACAGATAAGGGAAGAAGAACGTGAGTACGCCTCCAGCTGGGGGAACTTCTTGCTTGACTTGACACTGCTGTCCATCATCTCCAGCAACTCGCCGCGCGCCGTGGTGGACCTGTGACGGAGGGAGGGGGGCGGGGACTGAGGGAGGCAGGGAGGAGGAGTGGGGGATGAGGAGGGAGACGAGGAGGAGGAAGACAAGCCAGGAGGAGGGGGAGAGAGAAGGCGAGGAGGGAGGGGGGGGATAGAGGGAGGAGACAAGAAGAGAAAAGAAGGGAGGAGGGCGGGAGGGGGGGAGAATGAGAGAGGAGGGCGAAGAGGCGGGAGAGGAGGGGCAGGGAAGATGAGGGAGAGATGGAGGAGTGGAAACAGCCGCAGGACCAGCGGCAGGACCAGCAGCAGCAGCAGCAGCGCCAGCAGGAAAGGCAGCTGCAGCAACAGCACCAGGAGCGGGCAGCACCAGCAAGGTCAGGAGCAGGAGCTGCCTCGGCAGCGGGTGGAGGGCGAGGACAATCAGGTGAGGTGAAGGACGATTCAGAGCATGACGAGGGAGGAGAGGGAAGAAGGGATGGGGGGATGAGGGAGGGAGGGAGGAAAGGAGGGAGGGAGGGAGGAAGGGAGGAGGAAAAGGACGAAGAGGAGGAGGAGGAGGAGGAGGAGGAGGAGGAGGGGGAGGAGGACGACAGGGGAGGCGGGTGACTTCTTGAGCGCTGGCTGGCAGCCATGGTCGTGCCGCCTCCCTTGGAGGTCCTCGCAGCCCTCCGAGAACCTAACAACCGCGCCATCCCCCGAGCGCTTCCGCGGGGCCACGGGGAGCAGCGTGGGCAGCGGGCCCATGGCGCGTCGTCCGCGAGAGGGCGCCTCCTCCCGCCTCCCTCGAGGCAAATTGCTGCGGTGGTACGGAGGGCGAAGCCAAGAGGGGGGGGGGGGGCAAACGAGAGGGGTGGGTGCGGGGGAGGGGCCGGAGCATAGGGAGGAGCAGGGGGGGGGAGGACGAAGAGCAGAGGAGACAGGGAGATGAGGGAGAGGAAAGGGGAGGGAGAGGGAGATCGGGGGGGTGGAGGCGAGGAAGAGAGGGGGGGGGGACAGCGAAGAGGGGGAGCGGGGTGAAGTGGGAGCGGCTGCAGGGATTGAACCGGGGAGAAAGAAGGATGGGGAGGGCGAGGGCCAGGCGGAAGGGGGGAGGGATGGGGCATTGAGCAAGTAATCGTTGATTCACACGCGTCATGATTCCTGACAGTGGGTACGACCATGTACTACATTGCTCGAACTTACATCGAAGGTTTCTGCCCTGCGACGCAACTGCTGAAGCTTGACTGAGGAACAATTGCGAAGACGAAGACGACCGTCCTTTCGTCCTCCCCCTCCACTCTCACCATCCCCTTTGTCATTATACTCCTTGTCCTCCTCATCTACTTCCTCCTCCTCCTCCACCTCGTCCTCCTCCTCCTCCACTTCCACCATATTGCCCGTCCTCTGCCCTCCTCCTGTTCCGGCTCCTCCTCGGCCTCATCCTCCTCCTCCTCCTGATGCTCAGCAGCAGCAGCACCACCATCAGCATCAGCAGCATCAGCATCAATATCAGCATCAGCATCAGCATCAGCATCAGCATCAGCTTCACCAGCATCATCAGCATCATCAGCATCGTCAGCATCATCGTACTTAGCATCAGCATCATCAGCACCATCAGCAGCAGCAGCGACAGCAGCATCATCAACATCACCATCATCATCATCACCACCACCATCATCATCATCGTCATCATCATCATCGTCATCGTGAGCATCATCATAGACATCCCCATCACCATGAGCATCGTTATAATCATGATCATCATCATCAGCATCATCATCATGATCAGCATCATCGTCATCGCCATGATCAGCATCAGCATCAGCATCATCATTATCGTCATCATTATCAGCATAATCACCATCACCATCAGCATCATCATCATCATCAGCAGCATCATCATCGTCACCACCACCACCACCATCATCATCATCACCATCATCATATCATCATCATCAGCAGCAGCATCATCATCATCATCATCATCATCGTCGTCATCATCATCATCATCATCGTCATCATCATCACCATCATCATCAGCGTAAACATCATGATGAGTACCATCCACCACCCCCAACATCGCCATCATTATCATCATCATCATCAGCAGCAGCAGCGGCTCCATCACCATCAGCATCGTCACCACTGCCACCATCACCAGCTTCATCATCACCATCAACAACATCACCACCACCAGCATCATCAGTATCGTCGTCGTCGGCACCATCATCATCATCACCATTATCATCATCCTCAGCATCATCAGCATCGTCATCGCCATCATCAGCATCATCATCATAATGATCATCATTATCAACATCATCATCACCAGCATCATCATCATCATCATGATCAGCATCATCGTCATCGCCATCACCAGCATCAGCATCATCATTATCGTCATCATTATCAGCATAATCACCATCAGCATCAGCATCATCATCATCATCATCATCGTCAGCATCATCATCACAACTTCCACCACCATCATCATCATCATCATCATCATCATCATTATCATCATCATCGTCGTCGTCAACATCATCATCGTCATCATTGTCTCCATCATCATCAGCATCAGCATCATGACGATTACCATCATCATCATCATCATCATCATCATCATCATCATCATCCCCACCACCACCACCAACATCGCCAACATCATCATCAGCAGCAGCAGCGGCATCATCACCATCATCATCATTGTCACCACCGCCACCACCACGATCACCATCATCATCATCACCATCAACAACACTATCACCACCATCATCATCATTGCGTCGTCGTCAGCATCATCATCCTCAACATTACCATCATCATCAGCATCATCCGCATCAGCCTCGTCATCATCATCAGCAACATTATCATGATGATCATCGTCATCAACATCATCATCACCATCATCATCAGCATCATCAGCATCGTCATCAGCACCTTCACCATCATCATCCTCCTCATCATCAGCATCATCACCATATCCATCATCATTATGAGAATCATCCTCATCATCATCAGCAGCATCATGATCATTACCATCGTTAGCATCATTACCATTATCATCATCACCACCACCACCAACACCACCGCCATCATCATAATCAGCATCATCAGCATCATCAGCAGCAGCAGCAGCATCGTCAACATCCCCGTGAGCAGCATCATCATCATTATCACCACCACTACCATCATCAGCATCAACATCATCGTCAATACGATCATCATTTGTCGTCATCGTCAACGTGATCATCAACATCATCACTATCATAACCATCACCGTCACCATCGTCGTCGGCATCATCATCACCATCATCATCAACAGAATCAGCAGCAGCATCATCAGTATCATCATCAGAATCATCATCATCAGCAGCATCACCAGAAGCAGCATCCGAAACATCACCGTCATCAACGGTTTTAGTCATCGTCACAATCAGCAGCCCCATCATCATCAAAATCATAAGCATCACCATCACCACCACCATCATCATCATCAGCATCATCACTACCATCACCATTTGTCATCGCTATCATAATCAACCAGATCATCAACATCATCATCAGAATAACCATCACAATCATCATCATCATCGCCGTCGGCATCATCATCATCAGCACCATCAGCATCAGCACCATCAGAATCATTATCATTATCATCATCAGCATCAGCAGCATCATCAGAAGCATCATCAGCATCATCACGGTCATCAACTTACTTCATCCTCCTCCTCAGCATCAGCAGCATCATCAGAATCACCATCATCACACACCAGCGTCATCATTAGCATCATCAGCATCAGCATCATTATCATCATTTGGCAGCAGCAGCATCATCAACATCATCATCAACAACATCGTCACCATCATAAGCATCACCCTCATCACCCTCATCATCATCATCATCATCATCATCATCATCATCATCATCATCATCGCCGTGAGCATCATCATCACCATCATCAGCATCATCAGCAGCAGCATGATCAGCATCATCATCAGATTCAGCATCATCAGCAGCAGCAGCATAAGCATCATCAGACGCATCATCAGCACCATCGTCATCAACGCATTGCATCATAATAATCGTCAGCAGCATCGTCATCATCGTTGTCATCAGCGTCATCATCATCATCATTACCAGCACCATCTTCATCACCACCACCACCACCACCAGCATCATCATCATCATCAGCATCATCATCAGCAGCATCACCCCCATCAGCATCAACAACATCAACACCACCACCACCATCGCCATCAGCATCATCATCATCACCACCACCATCATCACCATCACCATGTGTCATCATCAGCATCATCACAATCATATCCATCACGTCATCATCATCGTCATCGGCATCATCACCATCACCATCATCACCATCATTATCAGCATACGCATCATCAGAATTATCATGAGAATCCTGAGCAGCATCAGCAGCATCAGAAGCATCATCAGCGTAATCATCGTCATCAACTTTTGTTCATCAGCAGCAGCATCATCATCACCACCACCACCATCGTCATCATCATCAGCATCATCATCATCATCATCATCATCATCATCATCATCATCATCAATATCAATATCATCATCACCATCATAACCATCACCATCATCATAATCATACCATCAGCGTGGGCGGCATCATCATCACCATCATCATCAGCATCATCAGCACAACTGCATCAGCATCATAATCATAACCGGCATCATCATCAGCAGCACCGTCATCAGAAGCATCATCAGCATCATCAACCTATTGCATCATCAGCGTCATCATAGCATCAGCATCACCACCACCACCATCCATATCATCATCATCATCATCATCATCATCAGCAGCAGCATCATCATCATCATCATCATCATCATCATCATCATCATCATCATCATCATCATCATCATCATCATCATCATCATCATCATCATCATTACCATCATCGTTTGTCATCATCATCATCAACACAATCACCATCATAACCATCACCATCATCATCGTCGTCAGCATCACCATCACCATCACAATCAGCATCATCAGCATCAGCATCAGCATCATCATCATCATCATCCTCATCATCAGCATCATTATCAGAATCAGCATCATCAGCAGCACAATCATCATCAGAAGCATCATCAGCATTATCGTCATCAACTTGTTTCATCATCATCATCATCATCATCATCATCATCATCAACATCAGCACCACCGCCACCATCGCCATCAGCATCATCGTCATCAGCATCATCATCAGCATCATCATCATCAGTAGCACGTAGCACCATCGTAACGCTCCGCCTCTCCTGCCCTCCTCTGCCCTGCTCCACCTTGCTCCACCCTCCTCGTCCCCAACCTCCCTGCGCCCTCATCCAACCTGACCTTCCTCCACTCTCCTCCAAGCTCCTCCTCCTACACCCTCGCACGCAGCCGAGCGAACCTTCCACGCACGCGGCAACAGGCGGCCGTCCTTCGACACCCTCCAGGTCGTTGAGGTCCGCCGGCGACGCGCTTATGCAACGAGCCTGACGGGCTCTGCCTCTGCCATTAAGACGAAGCCAGGACGAGGATCAAATCGGGCGAGGCTGCATCGAGAATCTCTGAGATCTGGCGGCTCTGGAGGACGTATCGGGCGCCGCGGCCTTCTCAGAGTGTTCTGGAACCTCTGAGAGCGCTCCAAAACGCTCTTGAACGGATTTACCCTCGTCCTAGCCCCGTCCGACTGTCTCCGCCATTCAAGCCCTTCAAATGCAACGCCCCCCG